GGCAATAAGGTTAAGGAAGTGACTCTCACGACCAATTGCCAAGTGAGTTTCATTGTTCTGTTTTATTGCCACCACCTTACGACATTCCTCAAGCCCCCGAGGGAAGGAATAAAAGGTAGATAAAAGGCAAAACAGTACAAGTAGCAAGGTAGAATTCTCTTGTACCCTTTATGAATGTCAGGGCCGGGTGGCCCCTCGTGCAGGCACACAGTGCCTCTGACAGGTGGCAGAGAGTTTTATGGAAGAAACAGGTAGCACAGATCTCATTGCCCAATTTGCTGTCCCATTGGCTTCAGCAGTTGGGGGTAGGCAAGATACCACCACTATAAGGTCTAATTAGATAAAATGAGTATTGGGAAGTTATCAATGGCTAGATTCTCGCTTCCTGGATTTAGCCATGGTCAAGATAACCTGACCTTGGTGGTCAGACATTCCATAAAGAATATACAAGACAAGTGTTCTTATACTCATTTTGTAAAAAGAAAAAGTCATACCCTCACAAACATTTTTTATTACCTATAGAAAGGAATTTTGATTTTATTACTTGGTGTATTTTGCCCAAATTAGGAAGACATATATTAACTGTGGCTGGGTGGCTCAGTTGGTTGGAGTGTCATTCCGTTCCAGGGGTGTCCAAGCTGTGGCCCGCAGGCCACATGAGTCCCAGGATGGCTATGAATGTGACCCAACACAAAATCATAAATTAACTTAAAACACTGAGATTTTTTGTGTGTGGTTATGTGTTGCAGTGTATTTAATGTGTGTCCCAAGACAACTCTTCTTCCAGTGTGGCCCAGAGACACCAAAAGGTTGGATGCTCCTGCACGGTATACCAAAGGTTGCGGGCTCCATTCTTGGTCAGAGCACATACCTAGGTTGCTGATTTAATCCCCAGTCCCTGGTCCCCAGTCTGGGTGTGTACTGGAGACAACGGATTGATGTTTCTCTTTCACATCGATGTTTCTTTCTCTCTCTTACTCTCTCTCTCAAAATCAATAAACGTATCTTCACATGAGAAAAAAAAGAATGGGAGAAAATAATTACAAATTATATATCTGATCAGGAATTAATATCCACAATGTATAAATAACTACAACTTAACAACAACAAAAAACAACCTAATTAAAAAATGAGCCCTGGCTGGTGTACCTCAGTGGATTGAGTGCTGGCCTGCGAACCAAAGGGTCACGGGTTTGATTCTCTGTCAAGGCGTGTGCCTGGGTTGCAGGCCCGGTAGGTACCCAGCTGGGGGTGCATGAGAGGCAAACACACATTGATGTTCTCTTTCTCTCTCCCTTCCCCTCTCTAAAAATAAATAAGATATTTTTTTAAATGAGTTCTGGCCTGTGTGGCTCAGTTGGTTGGTTGTCCTCCCACAAATCAAAAGGTCACCAGGTTCGATTCCCAGCTGAGGACCTGCCTGAGTTGCAGGTTCGGTCCCCCAGTTGGGGTCTGTGCAAGAGGCAACCCATTAATGTTTCTCTCTCTTTCTCCCTCCCTTCCCCTCTCTCTAAACAATTAATAAATAGCAGAAATCATTTGACTGTACATGTAAAGATTTACTTCTGAGCTCTCTATTCTGCTCCAGTGGTCTATATGTCTTTATGCCAGTATGTTGTTTTGCTTGCTACAGCTTTGGAATAAGTTTTGAAATCAGGAAGCAAGTCCTTCAACTTTGTTCTTTTTCAACTGTTTTGGGTAATTGAAACTTACCCTTAAAACTCCATGTAAATTTTAGGATGGGTTTTTCTATTTTTGCAAAAAACTTGAGTTTTTGATAGGGATTGTTTTGGGTACTATTTACATCTTAACAATATTGTCTATTTCATGAATATGAGATAGCATTTTGTTTATTTATTGTCTCGATTTCTTTTGGCAGTCTTTTGTGATTTTCAGTGTACAGGAAGGACTTTTGCCTTTTTGGTTGTTTATTTCTAAGTATTTTACCTTTTTTGATGTTGTTATAAGTGGTATTCCTAATTTTTTTTGGATTGTTAATTGTTGATGTATAGAAATGCTACTGATTTGTGTTGGTTTTTGTATTGTGCCATGTTGCTCAACTCATTTATTCTAACTTTTTTTGTGGACTAGTTTGACTTTTGAAAACAGAGTAAGTGTGAGTGCAGAATAAATTCATAACCACCTTGTTCAACTTTATAGAATATTTGACAAGGTATGCTGAAAATGTGACAAAATTTTGAGAAGAAATGCCAATGTCAAGATCAACATTTTTGCCTAAATTTTTGGCTAAATACTGCCATCAAAGATCTCAAATATATAAAATTCACAAATCCTTCTTTTAAAAAACCTCTCAAACTTACTTATTGAATAATTGTTGATAGGTTTGACATTCAGGTTAACAGTGATATCTGATGAGGATATGTGTGGGTAGGGGCCCCATACAAATAATTCTCATTTCAATAAACATTTGTTGGGTGGTGTGGGGTGATGTTTAGACTGTTAAATTTTATAGATCTAGATTAAAATCCTGATTCTCCTACTAATTAGTTGTGTGACATTTGGCAACTCTCCTAAACCTTTTTTTTTCTTTAAAAGTAAGATTATAGTATCTGTCCCACTGGACCGTTTAGGAGTCACACAAGATAGCTCTTTTCAATAGTATTTAATAAGTGTTATGACCATGAGTAGACTACACATTCAGCAGTATGCTAGATGTTGGGGATAAAAGATGTACGACATGCCATCTGCCATTGAGATACTCATGATCTGGATGGGAAATGTATTTAAAAAACCAAATAACCTTAATATTGTACTATTGTAAAAAAAATGCAAAGGAACAGAAGCTTGAAACAGAATGGTGGTTTTTAAAAATCATTATTATGACAGCTCTTTATTTATAAATATTGCATCACCAATAGCTTTTAGAACAATTTTGTCAAAAACAGTAAAATAATGACTGTCTTTTTTACCAGATATCTTGTTTATTTTGTGGAGCTCAGCAAATAAGTCTCTGGGCTGTAACAGGAGAAAGGAAACACTAGGATCTGGGCTCGGAGGGACGCTGTCCATTGGTCAGTGCAGGGTAACCCAGCTCCCTTGGGTCTGTGTTGCAGGGATCATGTACTGCAAGTCATGTGCATCTTCAGAGGCTCGCCTAATCATAGTGGCTGGGTATGACATGCTCAGATATGAAATTTAGCTAGTTTGGCTCCTGTGTAGAGGAAGGATTGGAGGGAGTAAGCCAGGCCAATAAGGGGGCTACAATAATCCAGGCAAAGTCTATGTGGCAGAGCAATGCAGGATGAACTGGGGTATGGTAGTGCACAATAGAGCCTTGTGGTGCCTAGACACATAAGGTCCTTTTTGCCATGGTTTGGGAGACATCACACTTTATCTTTTATCTTCATCATTGAGGGGGTTCTAAGGAACCCTGTTTGATTCAGCCACCATTTTAGAGAGAAGAAAACAGGCTCATTGTTAAAATACTATCATGGGGCTTTATTAACATTGTATTCTATGAACTTGGCCCCCACTGGAACTCAACAAATTAAATAATGGCCCCTGGAGGTGGGCTCTGCAGCAGTCCTGTTGGAAAGGTTACAGCATGGTAGGTAATGAAACTGATATCCATATAAAGACCAGTGATTTCCTACTGTACCATGCTATGGCTTAATCATGACATTTTATTTAGGGGATAAACACAGAATTAAAACAAAGAAACAAATCAAACACATCCCAATATGGATTTTCACAAGAACCTGGTAGACTTACTAAAATTTAATGGAATGATGTAAACACTAGTTACTTAACAAATTAAGGTACTTGATATATTATTCTTAAACCATTGCTTAATGGGAAAAAGTACAGGTAAAACAAATATGAGATCTCAACTATTTACTTTGGGCTTCCCAAAAATAGATAAATGAGCTTTACAAAAACTGAAAGTGCTAACCACAAAAATTAAGACCATGAATCTTTTTGCAGAAAGACATTTCTTCAATTGCCCCCAAAATTTAAAATGAATTTCCACAGAAAATACTTCTATAATTATCTCGGCAATAAATACATAACCTTGGGAAAATGTACATATTTAGTAACTACTTCACATATTTTTTAAAAAACTATGCAATTCTTATTTATGCCAAGAACACTACAATTTACAAGTTTCATTCATACTCTTACCTATGCCTATTCATTTTGAAGGCAGGAACATTTCTTTGGGTTGAGTCAGGATCTCAATATGCTTTGTCCAGGAAAGAAGGTATGAAAACTTTTTTTTTTTTTTAAAAAAGAATACTAGCTTATTGCACATGAGAGAGGCCAGCCATTAGTTGTTAACAGGGTAAAAGGAAATACCAGAGCTCCTCTGGGTAGGTAGTTAAAGGCTTTAGGGGTATTGATAAAAAGGTATTTCTGAAAAGATGATAAAATCATCTCCTTGAGAATTTTCAGTAATGAGTTTTACAGGACAGCAAGAATCATTAAGATTTAGAAACATCTCAATGGACTAATGATGAATTTTAGATTATGTAATTGACCTGTCCAGGGTCACATGATTATTGCCAGAGTCTACTAAGACCCAAGCCTCCTGTCTTCATCTGTAAGACAGGAAATCTTTCCCCTTTTCCTTTCCTATTTATCTCTTACATGTGCCTAACCACTTCATGCCCACCCTGTCTCTGCCCCACGTGTCCTTTGATGACAGGCGAACAGAACTCTGAACTATATAGACCACAGGTGGCAAACACAAGGCCTGCAGGCCGAATCTGACCCTCCCAGCACCTTGTTTCTATCTGGTGGTAGTGCCCAGCTCTTACTTAGCTGTTAATGAGTAGTTACATTTATACAGTCCTAAAATACACTCAGCCTTTAGGACCACAAGGCTGATGTGGCCCCCGGTGAAAATGAGTTTGACACCTTGATACGGACCACTTAGAGTAACAATGGATGAAACATTATTTCAAATGATTGGGCTGAAATTCATTTGAGACTTAGGGGTAGAGGTGACATACAAAAGAAGGAAATTCTGCAGACAACAGTAAGAGAAGAGGAAATATCCTCTCATTATTTTATTTTGTAGTTAAGTCTATATATTATATAAAACATAACAGGAAAATGAACAAATTTATAAAATAAATTGAGGTGTCTGGACGATAAAACACAAGAGCTTTGCCTTTGTGTTTACAGATTGCTTGGTATGTTCTTGGTCTTGCACTTTAGATGTCAAATAAAGATATCTAGCTTGAAACAAAGCTGATATAGGCTGTGAGGTTAAGCCCCAGTTAGTTTGATGTTGGGCCAGGAAATGATAGATTTTCTAAATCTTATCCTTAAATATTGGCTAAAATAAATGCTGATGTAGCAAAATGCAAGCTTTTATCATTAGACATCAAGAGGGAAACTTTAATGAATGCAACTTACCTCCAAGTCCTCTAAAAGGAGGTGACAATTAAATACTGTGTTTTACCAGTGTTCTCCCCAAAGCATTACTCTAGTAAGCATGCAGGAGGATGCTGTGAGCAGCAATAATAAGATCCAATCTAGAGGTAGGTTCAAGGCCAGAGTAGGAGAGTGGTTGAAGAAATCCTCCTTGGGCCAATAACTCTTCACAAAACACCCTTTGGTGCTGGGGGATGAGTATATGGCCTATTTTTTTTCATGATTCAAAAGGACATTCCCAATTCTAACCTTGCTTTAAAAAAAGGCATTTTTGCACCTGCTATTAAGAACAGCTAGGATACAGGATAAGGCTGGCATAAAATTATTTAGCAAGCACATGCTAGCTATTCCAGTTTGAAATCTACCAAACTGTAAAACCAAGGGGGAAATAAAAAGTTGAAGATGAAGCATTATTCCTTAAGATAGGGAACAAAATCCCAAAAAAGAGGGATTAGGCACTCACTTAACTCTATATGGAGAACATTCTTCTGAGGCTAGGAGGAAGATGAGGAAGAGCATTTCCAAAGATGGACCAGGCCATGTGGAGGTCAAAAGGAGGAAAAAAGGCGTTTAGAAAAAAAACTACTTCTGGGTCTGACTAGGTAAGTGAAATCTAAGGCAGTTGTACCAAAGATATGCTACCTATTTCACCAGCAGGAAGCTGGTGAAAATATCTCAAGACATTTTAAACCCAGAGAAATGTATGAAAAATGTGTTAACCAAGCAAATAAAAACCAAACCTTCAAGGATAAAATCTCATCAGATTTGAAATCCAAGATTAATTCACTTTTCATTAATTTTATGCATTAGAAAAAAATTAAAAGTAACAAATGTAAAGATTTGTTTTATTTCTACTGGGGGAAGGAGGATAAATAGAACTGTTTTCCAATTTGCTCTCCACTGTATATACACATACCCACACACACACACACACACACACACACAAACATACACACACCAAAAATACCCCAAACAAAAAACCAAGAATCAAAAATCAAGACACCCTCAAGCTGCACCAATACTTCTTATTTTGACCAAAAGAGTAGATCCTGGGAGGAAGTGCAAAATGCAAAATCATATGACCGAAAAATGCTGAACAAACAGCATTATTAATATACAAAATATTTATATTACTGAACTAGTAACAGTTGATATTCTCCGTGTCTGTAAAACTTTGGAACCACATAGCTGATGTTAAATCTAGTCCATGCCAGCTTCCAAAAACCAGAAAAAATTTTAGTTAGCTTCATTCTTTGATGCTTCATCAAAATTTTCTACAAGATCTGAAAAAAAAAAAAGGGTGAGTTAAAAGTACATAAAAAGAGGTAAATAAAATTCCTAACTTCTAACCCCAGTAAAACAAAATTGTTCTTCCTAGAATTAGCTTGAAAATATACAGGACAAGGGGGCAGAAATGAATTGGTGGCATTTTGCTAATACTTCAATTATCTGCTGAAACCATAATCCTAAGGAAATGTTAGTCTTTTTTGTTTATGCATACTAAAGTGGATAGCATTTTCATATATCAATCATAATTCCCACAAAAATGTTATAATAACTATCCAAATTTATAATCACAGTGATTCCAAATTCATAAATGCAAGGCAGCAAAGCTTTACATGGTAATTTCGGATTCTAAGTATTACATGAGAAGGCTTTTAATCTTTTTAATTAGATCATATCCACATCATTGTGAATCAAATTAAATTTATGAGCTCACCATTGACAAAAAATTGTAAGTCATTATGCAGTGAATTTATATGAGATCAGCAGGATGCTAAAAATCTTAAAACTAAAGAAATGTCACTCACCTGGAACATCATCATCCTCTTCATCAATGTCTTCTGGTTTTGGTGCTTTGCTATCCAACACTGCAAAAAGTTTATTTTAAAATTAGTCACTGAGAACAAAGACATCTACAAACACTTTATCCTTTTTCCTGTCTGTATCTTATCTAATTATCCAGAAAAGGCTAAATATTGTTAATCTAGTGCCATATTTTTTACTTAATACTAAAAATCAATGGAACTTTAACTTCATTAGATATATACTACATTCAGCAGACAATCTGAATGGGCACTGAAGGTAAAACTTATATGCAAAATGGAGTAATTCAGACTGACTTGAATGAAAAGACAGTTAATTCATTCTCCAAATTTCATATTCTCCAAATAAAAAGTTAATATTCAAGGTTGTTTTTCATCTCTTTTGGTGTAACAAAGTATCCAGCAATGTAGTATGAGCACTAAAGTAACAGGCTCTTTGATTTTTAGGGGAGACAGGTCACATTTGAAACCAGAACTTTCTTGGAAATTCAGTACAAATGGTTGTTACATCTATAGTAATCAACAGTATTAAACAAAAATATAGTTCTGTGATAACACTATGTCCTCATTGCCATTAGTCAGAAGTGAGTATCAAATTGACTATTAAATGTGGCCTGCAGACCCTAGCACTTTACTTTTTAGGTAATTACTCTCAACTCTATATTTCTACGAAAATGTTCCCTATGACACACTACATAATATTTAAAGAAACAAACAAAATAATTTATGAAGCATACAAGTTACATTATAAAAGTAGAATATATATATAGGCAAATCCTTCCAGGAATGGGACACATTTTAAAATAAATAGGTTCTTTAATTAGTTAGGAGGAAAAGAGGTACTAAATTGAAATACCTACCTTGCCGAGGGAACTGTTCAGCTAACTTCCTAAGACTTGTTAAACTGTCAGCACCAAGCTGACTTAATATTCCAGGAAGCATTTCTGTGATTGGTTTGGCTTCTGCATGACCGGTAATTGCAAAGGTGTTGGCAGAAAGGGAAGCTTGGACTTTGGGATTGTTGAAATGAATAACTGTTCCATCATCTTTAATCATGTTTACCTGTATGATCATGAAAGAAAAAGGTACTTCACAAAATAGATACAACTAAAACAGTATCTTTTTAATAAATAGTTTAGCCAATTATTTTTTCAACTTGGTAGTTATGCAATCCCAAGGTAATAATTATCTAAGAGGTGAGTATGGGTGGAAAAAGATCCTAACAAGGTAAAATGGTATAGATGGCACAGATTACTAGGATGGTCAAAGAATCTACATTTTAAATTCAAGACTTCAGAAAGACATTCATGCCCACATTAAAAAAATGTAATAATCAACCAAGAACTGGCTTCTTAATGAAATAGCCATTATCTTACTCAATTTACACTATCAAACTAAATTGGTACAAATACCATTTAGTGAGGTAGCATCTTAGGAGATGGGTTGTAATGGGATACCAGTATCTGGTAAAAATAACCACTGAAAATCCATAAAGAACACTCAGAAATGTAATTGATCAGGTACTGCACTCATTTTAACCCTTGGTAAATTTATAAAAGATTTCAACTTGTTCTCTTCATGTCATTCTGTGTAAAGGATTTTTATCAGTTCCTCTAATTCTTGCATGTTGCTTCTCAAAAACCTTCAACAACTCTTGTAAATGTGAAAGTACCTCTCCCACCCACTTGCCTGCCCACCTGGACATGCTTTACCAATTACTAGGAAACCTTTAGAACCATCCTCACATTCTTTCTATAGCTTTCACCAGTATGAATTTTGACTGTTTCAAACTGGATTTATCACATGGCCTTGGACTAAGTGAAAAGGAAGATTGAGCTATTTAAAATGTTATTTTTCTCTCACTTGTGCACTTTCTGTGTTTCAGTAGAAATGAATTTGCATAAGTTAAATGTGTAAATAATGTGATTCCACTATGTAGTTGACTCCACTGGGTAAGTTACCTTGGTGGTAACATGCTTATTATGTAAAAAGGTTAGGAGAGTTAACTCTTGGCTACTTTAGAAGCATTTCATGATCCATCCAAAAACTGCCCTTGTCACAATCAAGCAGAGATGCTGAGTGTTCTCCATGGTCAGTGGAAGTGGGCTTTTCTTCCTCAGAGGTGATCACCACCACTGACAGACAGCACCAGAAAGGAAGGGGAAGAAAGGGGCGTCTAAATTTCAGGCAAGACCTGGAACACAGAGAAAATAAAGGCAAATTCCCTGGAAAACTATAACTTTACTCCACAAATAATTTTCCAATTTTTTTCTGACATAATCATTTTTTAATTCTATACCTGTCCCTCTTTCAGTATTGTACTTAAGGTTCTATTATACATATTATACACAGTAAGCACTCAATCTAGCTGTTGTAACAAATATCATCATGAGTTAAAAATAGTTTAACTTTAGAAGGAGATAAACAGTTCTGAAGATAATTATAGTCTAGTTAGAAAAGTTTAATGTTAATGTGGCTGAAATTCTGGGAGACAAAAAAGGTGGCACAATGGATATGAAATGGGATGTTGCTCTGGACCTACCCTAGGATCACATAATTTTAGTATGGGAAAAGAATAAAGATATGGTAGGACTATATTTTCCAAATCAACATCAATCACATCATTTAATAAAGGATTTCTACAATAGTTCCAGGTATGAAAAAAGTCTCAAATATTAGAATTTGAGATTTTTTTAATTTACAGATGTTAAAATCACAGGAGACTTGAAATAGATATTGTTCCCCCTAATGTCAGGCCATATTATTTGTTGAACTTCTAGTCAATCTGTTGTGAAGGAAATAAGTACTAAAGATAAGAGCTCTCAGTTAAGCAACATACCCAAGAACAAATAGCTGGTTACATGCAAACTCAGAACTGAATTTGGGTTTCTTAACTTTGTTTAATTTCCTTCCTATGATGTCATTCACATTCTTAAAATGCTTATTTGCTGGTAAAAATTCAATTCTGTGCTTCCATAAAAACTTTCTAAAAATTGTTTATCTCAGAATATAGGCAAATGGAGAATGCAAAAGGAAAACAGCACAGATACATGGATAATATATCTCTTCCTAGCTATAAAATAATAGACCAACCCAGAACCAAAAAGAATAAGCAAATTCAAGAGTTTTCCTTCTGTTCAAGCTTCTTTCCCAAGGGCTAAATGTTAAGTCATATTTTACGTCCTGATGTAGGTCTTTGTAGGCTGAAATATGTTGAGTTTAGTGTAAAAAGCAAGATAAATTACACTTCAGACTGAAATGGAAATAAATGTATTAATGGTTGTTTTAAATGAGGTTGTATTTTAAAAAATGAATAAAAAGGCACAGAAAGGGGTGGAGAGTTAGTTTTAGAATACAGAGAATAAAATACTAGAAGTTAAAAAGGCCAGAATATTTTATTTCTAACATTCCTTCCTCTCTCCTAAGCAAATGACACAGTTATGTAAGACTCCTAGACACAAATGATTAGAAACTATTAAAGGATGAACTGTTGGGCTGATCGTTAGACACCTCCCCCACTCTTTTAGAGGTAAAAGAGGAGCTAAGGAACTTTTTAAACTCACAAAGCAAACTGCATGCATTTCATATGGAGAATTCACTTTTTTCTGGTGATTTTACTGATGTTTGGTCTAAAATCATAAAATCTACAATCTATATACAGTATAAGAACAAGAAGCAGACAAGTAAACAAAGACTATTAAATTAGCTACTATACCCTTTTTTAAACAAACAGCCCCTTTATGTCAAAATGTTTCTCCCACTTAATAGGTAGTTGAATGTAAAGAATGCTACTTGAACAATAGAGGAGACATTTTTGAGACTCCTAGTCCAAAACATCAGATGCCCTTGCTTATTTTTTGCTCTAGCAATACTGACACGTCTTGTAGTTAACAGAAAGTATTTTGTCCTCTCATGCTTAGTGCATTTACATATGCAATTTTCACTCTTTAGAAACATCTTTTCCTGCTTCTCCACCTTGTAATTTCCCATTTATTCCATCTTTAGGTCAGACGCTCTTACACTTAAGGTGATCTATGCACCTTCTGTACTTTATGGGTATTACAAGTAATTAGACTATTGTAGTAAAATTATGTTTGCAAGTTTTTGACCTTATTAGAGATGAACTCCTTGAGATAAGAGACCATGCCTTACTAGACATAGTATGTCCCCCAAGTATCCAGCACATAATAAGTCACTCAAATTTACTGAATGAATGGACACCGCCTATATACAGAATTTATTCTCAATCATGGATGCCATCTTAAGGTTTAGAAATAGCACCAGTAATGCTCCCCAATAAAGATGCCCAGAACCATCTAGGCTGTATCTCTGGCCTAACTTTTCCTACTGTTCTGGCCTTTCAAAATCAACCGGACTGTCCCACAGAATTTAGGGCCATTTTATTTTATTTTATTAAAATCTTTTTAAAAGTTTATTTGACTTTAGGGAGACAGAAAGGGAGAGGGGAAGAAGGAGGGATGGAGGAAAGAAGTGGTAGGGAGAAAGAGAGTGAGAGAGAGAGAGAGAGAGAGAGAGAGAGAGAGTGCACCATTTGTTGTTCCACTTATTTATGCATTAGTTGGTTGATTCTTGCATGTGCCCTGACCTGGGATTGAAATCACAACCTTGGTATATTAGAATGATGCTGAAACCAACTTAGCTACCTGGTCAGGACAAACTTAGGGCCATTTTAAGTCATTCCTGGCATCTGCTATGGGGCATCATTATGCTGGTATCTAAACTTTTAAAACCCTGGCCTTCCCTGGCTTCTGAGTAGGGTCCATATACCATATATTAATCACAGCAGCCTTCTATCTGATAAATTCAATACTTGTTTTATTCCTACACAGCAGTTTTTAAGGCAATAGGAGGTTCACAAAGTTTTACTTGCCTGCACAGCACTAGCTAACAAATGCCCTCTCAGTTCAGAGAGTTTAAATTTTTCTACTGTGTTGTTTCTTTTTGTCCCCACTAGGCTAGAGGTAGGGACAGTTCTAAAAATTGACGGTTATCTTAAAATCAAGTTTTATTGCCACTCCTTCCTTTACTGGCACTTAAATGTGAGGCTAAGGGATATCATATTTTGAGGATTATGGGCTTTGTGCACTCCAATAAGTCAGTATCTTTCTCATTCAATCCTTCTATGCTCAGCACCTGTTTATTTCTAAAGGCTAGTCTAAACTATTATTGATGTTATAAGCTAAAGCTAACAACTGTCATTATACTGTATGATATGCTGAGATCATTTTCTCTTATGCTCTGGTGGCAAGAGTCTGATGAGTTCTCTATAACTATGCTGTAGATGGTGTAAAATGGCATATCCTTTCTGAAAAGTAATTTGGCAACATCAATGAAGAGTTCTAAAAAGAAAAAAATACAAACAGTAAAACTTATGTGTACAATTACAAAATTTATACAACCAGCCCTAAACTTTCTCCTGAGCTCCAGCTCCTTCTCGAAGAACAGTTCCTCCTGGAATAATCAGTATCTCAAACATCATGGGAGTCAGCATGTGATAAATGCTAAATAAACATAGTTCCTTCTGTCAAGATTCCTATAATCTAAGAACAGGCAACTTGGTTAATAAGTAACCATTGTAACTCACAATATGAGGTCGTAATAATAAATGTATTATAATGGAGCAGTTTAAGCTAAGTGCAGCAGAAATACAGAGAAAGTGTTAATTATACCTGGTACGATAGAGAAGGTTTCATAGAGACAGAATTATATACTAGTTTAAAAGCTGAATGTAACAGTAAAACTCTATGAAGCAATTAGACCAAACGAATCAGAGATTCAGATTTTGGGTGATGGTTTTCATCAAATAATTCTGATAAAATTGGTTGTTTCTGAGAAATGGAACAGCTCCCATTTTTGACAGACTCATATTATCAGTGGAAGAAAAGTGATAGCACAGTCACTATATCCAACTAGATTACCAAATAAGAAGCACACTCAAATATCTTCAAATGTCACAGAACATAAAACATTTCCAGAAATTTAGTTCTGGATTACACTTTTGGAATTCACCTAGGAATTGCTTCCTAAAACCTGGTTATTTACTTGGCTTTGTATGAAAACCATCACCCAAAATGACACTCCCCTGCCCTTTACTTTTTGACAGCTTTGAATTTCTCTCTCTTGGGTAACATGTCAAAGAAATCTATATATAATTATTATACCAAATCAACAAACTAATGCATACATAAAAAACCAGAGAAGCTTGTCTCCAGCCAATAGTCTTTCAGTTTTTAAAGTTAAATTAAGCTTAAATTAAGCTTCAGGAAGACTTAAATTAAGCTTCAGGAAGAGAAAAATCATGAATACTGATTTCTTTCAGCCTAGAAAGTAAGATTAAAATTTTACTAAGTAAAAGTGCATTCAACAAGTTTTTTAAAACCCACCACTGATCTCTCTGCTGCTCACCCACCAAACTGAGTACTTACTTTTCTTTTTTTTTTTTTTTTGGTGATACAAGGTCTAAGTATAGTCATATTATTTTTGGCAATCCTGTCTTTTCATAAGATTTTACTTAAAATGCAAAACAACAAAAAGATAGTATATTCCTCAGAGTTCAGCACTATGTAACAAGTTTAAAACATTCCAAATTAAAAACAAAATTCTACCTAATGTGCTTCTTCTAAGACATATTTTTGATACTTAGTGTTTCTGAAAACTGTTTTCATGTATACATTTAATGCAGTAGTTTTTTCTCCTTAATAACTGTTTTTAAATCAAGCATATAATTTTCTTTAAAACTGAAAAAATATTAATGTTTGAGGTAAACCAGATTATATATAGCATACTAGATATTCCTAAACCATATTATTTTAGATATGCAAAATGTTATATCTTGGTTCTTAAAAAATCAATTTTAGAAAGAGGGAAAGCAGGAAAAAAGCAAAATTCCTACCCATCTTAGGTTCAAATATTCAGAAATTTTACAGCTATTAACTTGCACTGTTAATTATCTTTATGCATATTCTCTGTACAACTAGTTTGTGAGGGCTGAAGACAGCACGCATGCACACACACACCAGCATGAAAGAGAAGGAGTATGTACACGCCTATCAGGTACCATTAATTTTTTTGTGTGGTGCTCTGGAGAGCTATGACTCTTCAAGAAGTTAGAACTGAATTGGCAATACCAACAAAACGGAATTCACAATTCAGATTAATAAATACTACAATAAAATTAAAAACAGAACATTATGGGAGAACATAGGAAAAGCATCCAACCCTCCTTTGCACGAATGTGTATGTGTGTTATAGGAAGGTTTCCGGGAGGAAATAACACCTGCATAAAGACCTAAAAAAGGAGAAACAGCAATGTCCTCAGAAACAGTGATGGGGATTTCTTTGATCTATAATGGGGTAAATAATGAATTCTGATGGGAGGTGCTTAATAATACAGGGTATAAGTAGGTTACTTTTCCATTCTTTGCTGAGGTGGTACCACACATAGTAATGATATAATTAACTCTTAACTTATGGCAGTGGAAATTTAAACAGTGGTTACTATCAGAAATGGAATCATTAGATAGAAGTAGATCTAGAGGTAATATTACAAATAGTTGATGTTAATACAATTTTTCTTGAGTGTCTTTTGAAATACCATTAATCTTTGACTTCATATTTGAGAGAAACAGTATCATCAAAATATAATAAAATTATTTAAAAAACCATGGAAAGCTACTGCTAGGGCTTCTTGGCCGAGGTAACAATTAGAAAGACTTGCAGAGTAGAATGGTGCTCTTATGGGGAAAAAAAAAAGTCCACCACATCTGTAGAAATTTGGGGGTTTCTTTATTTCTATGTTATTAGAAAATAATCTTATTTTACATTAAAATTCAAGACAGTTCCATAATCTTGTCACACATACAGATACTTTCTGTCTGAAAATATGAATTCCTTAACTGTCTACTAAAATCATTTTGGACAATCATCCAATTTTATACAATAAGCAAATTCAATAGCTATAGTCCTTCCAAGATAGCTGAGTGATAATATCAGATTCTCTAAGCTGATATTTTACATTTAAAAGTGTAGACAGCCCTGGGTGATGTGGCTCAGTGGACTGAGTCCTGGCCTGTGAACCAAAAGATTGCTGATTCAATTCCTGCTCAGGGCAGGTGCCTGCGTTGTGGGCCAGGTAACAGTTGGGGCATGTGAGAGGCAACCAATTGATGTTTTTCTCATACATCGATGTTTCTCCCCATTTCTTTCTCCCTGCCTTACTATTCTCTCTCTCTCTCAAAAAAAAAAAATCTTAAAAAAAATGTGGCTAATTAGCCCTGGCTGGTATGGCTCAGTGGAATGAATGCCAGCCTGCAAACCAAAAGGTCACCAGTACGATTTCCGGTCAGGGCACATGGTTGGGTTGCGGCTGGGCCTGTAGTTGGGAGCTTGCAAGACACAACTCATCCATGTATCTCTCACACATTAGTGTTTTTCTCACTCTCCTTCTCTCCCTCCCTTCCCCTCTCTCTGAATAAATAAAACCTCAAAAAAAAAAAAAGTATGGATAATCATTTGTGAATATGCTATTTGTTCACATACTTAATAATTTACAAAGTGATCATACCTCTTCAATACCAGCTATATTATTCACAGCCAGTTTTTTTAGAGAACTCTGAAGTTTTTTGTCATCAGCTGTAGCTGTTCTATGTACCACCTTCTTCTTTCTGCGAGCTGTACCCTGAAAAATAACCAAACAGAAGGGTTAGCATGCCTTGCATCTGGGAACTATAATCAGGTGTCTTCCTATCCATAGTTCTCTTAACAAAAACCCACATAAGAAACTGCTGACTGAACAGTAATGATTAATAATGCTCAGTTATGTTTGTCACAATAATCCAGAGTTTTAAAGGTCAGTTCTAGCCAGTTCTTATTCTTCCCAATATCTAGCCTTTATCATCTCAATACATTGTTTCAAGTTTTCTAGTAAAAAATAATTTATAACTTCAAGACAATTCAGTATGCTTTATAATAACTTTCAAACATTATAAGGAATACTTTTTTTACAGTACCTACCACCCCCTGACAAAAAAGTCTAAAGATATTCTGAAACTTTGGAGATTATGACAATATTAAGAATCAAATGCTGCCCTGGCTGGCGTGGCTTAGTGGACTGAGCACCCGACTCTGAACTGAAGGGTCACCAGTGTGATTCCCAGTCAGGGCACATGCGTGTGTTGTGGTTACCCCAGTGCCCCAGTGGGGGCACGACAGGCAACCACACTTTGATGTCTGTCTCTCTCTTACCCTCTCTCTAAAAATAAGTAAATAAAAACCTTAAAAAAAGAACATTATGCTAAGTGAAATGAGCCATTCAGAGAAAGACAAATACCATATAATTTCACTCATATGTGGAGTTTAATGAACAAACTGAACTAACAAACAAAAGTGAGAGCAGGCTGACAGTTCTGGGTAGAGGCTTGGGGGTAGAGGGATAGAGTAAAAAAGAAAAGGAACTCACTGACAACAGTGTGGTGATTGTGGGGGTGGGTGGGTGGAGGAGGAAGATGGAATGGGGGTAACTGGTAATGGAAAAAATACAAAAAAATTTTTTTGTAAAAAATAAACATAAATTAAGGGATCAAATTCCTGGGCCAATTTATAAAAAGGAAACCTAAACCAGAGCTGAAAAACTAATAAAAACAGCCTAAGTCTTGAGGGCTAAGCCTTTTTGAGGCATGGCAGGAGTAAGGGGAGAGGAAGGGGGTTTCAATCTCTGAGGAGCTCCTGCAGTAGTACTCAGCCTTACTGAGGGTAGGCCGAAGTTCACTTTCAGCCTCACTGGTGGGAGTGGAAGAGAGCCCTGTGAGTAGCAGCAGAGGTTGTGATGAAATCCAGTTTCTGAAGGATGAATTGGAGTGACTGTTTACATAGTCATTTATTTGTAAAACATTCCTGACTCAGGGGTAGCTAAATTACTTGCTGAGTACCTCAACTCAAATGATCCTCAGGCATCTCAAATTGAACACATCTAAAAGCTTATCACTCCATCAAACTATTCTTCCTGTATTTCCTAAGTTTTATAGCTAGTGGTACCATCATATATCCAGTCTCTAAGGCCAGAAATATGGGGTCATCTCAAATTCCTCTCTCCCTTTAATCCCCCATATACTATCAGTCATGTCAACTCCAAACCCTAAATTTGTGCCCCAGATATTATAGCAGTAGTCTCTCAACTGTTCTCCTCTATGCAAATTTCTATTTCATTCTATTTTCTAGACTGCCAGCAGTCATCTTTCTAAAATGACTTTTATTTCCTTCTTAAAATTCTGCAATAGTTGCCCCTTGCCTCTAGGATAAAATTCTCAGCTCCTAGTATGGCATATAAGAATATAAAATGCAACCCCAAATTATATACTCTAAACTCTAGCTGTACCAAGGTAAAACAAACCTACCCTCTCACCTATCTATCTAGTGATAAATTCTTATTCTTCAAATCTCAGCGCAGTGATGACTTGCTTGTCTCTCCTAGGCAAGAGTGCCTTGTACTTCATTTTAACATTTATAACTCTATAGAATAATTATAAGGATGTCTCTCTTCCAAGCTGAGCTGTGCCAAGAGAAAGGGACCTTAACTTATTTATCTTCTATGTGGTTAGCACATAGTAGGTACTCAATAAACTAGTTAAATGAATGTATATATGTGTATATATATATAAAATAGTGATGTGCTACATAATCTGTTCTACATATATTGTGTGGTTCTTGAATATCCCTAGTTTTTGCATTGGTACATGACACTACACTTGATATAACAACGACTACTTTGGTTACATGAATGCTAATATGACTCTAAAGTCATATAACTGTATCACTATGAAAGGAGAAAGTACTAGTCACTTCTCCCCTTCACCATCTCCTGTCCCCTCCTCAGGAGATGTGGTTATCATCAAAATAAATGACACAGTGGGGCTGCTACATAGTATCCTACCTACCCCTCCCCAGGTCAGAGGTAAGGACTGTTCTTGCTTTTCCTTTAGCAAAAATTGTACTGGGCAGAGATAAGGTTAGAATATTCAGCTCTGGCCCTGAGCTCAGGGCCAGAGCTAAAGGGCATCAAAGACTCTTCATGTTCAGAACTAGTTCTTCCTTAGGCTTCAAAGTATATAAGAATGCTCATGTTCTTATAGGCAGGAAATCTGGGAGAAAAACCTAGCAATGAACAAAATGTACAGTCAGCTTGAACATCTCTAGTTAAACCACTTATAAACCAAACTACAGTGGTAAAAGTATCCAGTCAAGATGAGGTAACCTTAACATCTGGGATGCCCTGCAGGTCTGTTCTGTGACAGACACCATGTTAGGTGTTTTATAAATATTACTCTAATTTTTAGAAGCATCTTATGTAGGATTATTTCTCTTTTGCAGATGTGAAAATGGAAGCTTAACAAGGTTGGGTAGTTTGTTCATGTCACGTAACTACCAGATATGAAGAAAATTCAAACAAAGGTGCCAGAGAGAGAAGTCTTCTAGTTATCTATTTTAGAATTAAACAAGTTATTTTCAATTTAGAATGTGCTTTGATCTTGATTATTAAAAAGATTTTAGATTTTCAATGACCACAAATCCAAAATAACAACAACAACAACAGCACTATCTGGTAATAATACATTCTCCTGTCAATTTTCCTTATGCCACACTCACCTTGCCCCCTATCCGGACCTGAGCCTGAAGTTTGGCTAACTTTTCTTGATTCATGCTGTGGTAAATCTATGGGGGAAAAATAGATTTGTTAAAGCCACTGTTTTACCAAAATAAAATACCTGTTTATGCAACAGTACCTTCTGGTTCACTGAGCTTGCAATATTCACTACCACTATGATCATATTAGAACTGTCTCTATTCTTAATAAATAACTTTTTCAAGCTTCATGAACCAGATATTAAAAGAACCAAAATTAAATAATACCACAAAGGAGTCAAATATACAAATAGAAAATAGAATGGGATTCAAAGTTACCTATTTGAAGATCCCTCCTTTAAAGCATGATTTAGTACTTTGGCATTCAGTAAAACCTAACCAGTTATAAAATCTCTGTAGGCAAGCCAGTTTTTCCCTCAAAGATTTTTACAGCAGAGAGCTGTTACCAAATGTTATCAGCACACCTTTAGACATTTTTCTTCCAAATCATATTCTGTATTCCTTGTAAACCATAAATAGAAGACTAGAAAAAAAACAATGAAAAACCCCAACAAAGAAAAATTCAACAATAGGCTGTCTAGCTGTCAAGATATGAGGTAGCCATGTCCTCTATTCAAGGTCAGATGGTATGTTAATAACAGGGGACCAGAACCAGATTTTTAGATGTTCAGTGCTTCTGTAGCAATTCCCACTAAGTTCATCAAATACCTTGCACTGATACAGTATGTTATACTTGTCAAGATATTCTTGCATTCAGGATATAATGCCTCACTGCACAATTTAACAAAAACATCTCTGCCACATCAATACTTAATTTTGGGGGGAGGAGGAAGTGAAGAGACTCTTCAATATAAGTTCTTTAAGGCTAAACTTAATTTTGAAAATTCTAAGAACATTATAAAGTCAGGAATCCTAGTATGGACAGTGATATTTGTACAAAGGAAAAAAGTTCTTAAGTTTATAATGGGCCACAACATTCCATACTATATAAACAAAAGCCAATGTTAAAGTATTGTTTTACTTGTTCTGTGGATCAACAGATCATTATTGAGATGTGAGAGATGGAATATAGAAGTACAAGGCTCTTATCAAACCTCTCTGGCCAACTCTCTAACTTCTTCATAATGATTCAGGTGAAAAAAATTGTTTTCATTTGAGAAATGAAAGAGAATCAAAGATTATATTAGTACAAAACATCCTGTATTCGGACTCTCTGCTTACACTAACTTGTATGTATCTGCTTTAAGGCCAAATAAATCCTGTTCTCAAATAACATTTATTTTACATTAATTCAGATTTATTTATAGTCTTCATTTTCCTAGTTGTGCAGCTTAATCAAATAACATTTAGAACTTATGATTCCTTAGATCTTTGTTCAGCACTGTATCACAATGCTCAAGCAGCTAAAAACACATTCATTGAAGGAAGTGTGATTAGAGTACAAAACTGGAAGTCTTCAGTGTGTGCCAACCTCAACTTGTAGATTTGTATGTGCCGGTGTAAATCCCAGTATCTATACTCAGTATCCACAGAAAAAGGCCAAAAGTCACTTTTCTCAAAGGAATTGGCCATGAAGATGTGAACTAACAAAGAGCCTAAGGACTTTTTTTACAAAAAAGGGGCACAGGAAAAATATTAAAACTAGACATAGGGTAAACCTTTTGGGACTCATGCATTTTGAAATGGAAATTCCCAGGAAGAGATGGAAAAGAAGGGACAGAAGATAAAGAATCCTGATTTGTTTGAAACAAAAGCAACAAAACTAACTATTTATATCAATGTGTAAAATAGATTCCATTTCAGGTAATCAGGAAAACAGAGAACTTGTTCCCAGGCAACTCAGAAAAAAAATTTAAGGAAGCTCAAGAAGGTAGGGAAGGAAGAAGGGTGGTCCTTTGTCTGTTAGCATTGGGGGGGTATAGAATTCAAGTAGGAAAGAGGATTGGACTTTGTCTATGAGAAATGTTAGGCTCAGAAGGAATCTGGACTAAACTTCAAAGATCATCTGGTTTACTTCCCTATTCCTCAATCAACTTGTAATTCTTGTATGAGAGTCCATCTGAAATACTTGCAAGCAGCCAGGAGGGCAAACACATGAGTAACAAACAGTTCACTTCCCTCTCAGTTTAACAGATTTGCAAATGAGGGCCCAGAAGGGAAAACTCACTTTCTAGTTTCAAAATAGAAAACTTCCTAAGGCCGTATGTTTAATGAGTTCTTTCTTGGGGATCCTAGAATCTTTTAGCCCTTTCCTCAAGGACTCAAAAAAGGGGTTAAACAATGAGATTATACTCAGTATTTATTGAGTGCCTAAGTTCCAAGCATTACAGTATGCACTTTCACATACATCATTTTTACGGAGATAAAATAATTTCTGCTTTTAGTCCCGACTTTTTTTTTTTTCCCCTATTATGCGGGGTTTCTTTAAGAGAGGCATCAGCTTTGGAATCAAAAGAATCAACGTTCTATCTCTCAGGGTTTCTGAAAGGTATTTTACTTCTCTGAAACAATGTTCCTTCTGTACTAGAAAAGGTGCAACACCACACATTTCATAGGGTTTTTTTTAATGGTTAAAGGTGATCAATAGCACGGGGTATGGCTCACAGTAGGTATGCAAAAACTAGTAACTACTGTAGTCAATCTCGAGGGGAGAGCTATGGTACAATGATATAAAGAACGTGGTATAAAGACACGAAGTTGAGACCATCATTCCTAGCTGTGCAACACTGTGTCTATCTTCAATCATCAGTTTCCTGACAGCTTATACTAAGCATCAAGCGGTGTGATGGGGCTATGCAGATGGGCAAGGCACTGTATCACGAGTGGGAGGCCGACTGATAAACAAATACTGCAATTAGGAGCTGAAGAGCGCTGCAACGTAATTCGGTTCCAAAGGCTAGGGGATCGGGGCCTGCTAAGCTCAGTTTCCCTATCTGTAGGGGAGGAACAAGTGAGATGACAACAGACTGGCTGTGTATATAGCTCAAAGCTCACAGCACTGTTGTGAATAACAAGAGTAACAGGACAGAAGTAAGGGATCACCCGCCTCCTGGGTCTGGATCTGGGTGGCGAGGGCGCGGGCTCACTCGCCCCCACAGGGGGCGGTGGTGCTGGGGACCATCCCTCAGGTGCCGACCCCCAGCTGCGCCGCCGGTGACCGAAAGGCCAGGCTAGCCGCCTCCGCCCCCACTTCACGCGCCACGGCGGAAGTGGCAGCCCGAGAGGTTGGCGGGTGTCGGAAGAAGAGGGCGGGGGGAGACCGTGCGCAGAGGCCTATGGCCGTGGAGTGGCGGGACCGCCGGGGGTCTCACCTGAAGCAGGGAGGGTCCTCAAACACCAGCACGCGGCAAGAGCAAGATGGCTGCCTCAGTGGAGACAGAGAAAGACGACGGAGGCGGTGGCGGCGGGAGCTGAGTCCACGTGACACAGCGGCCTTCGCTCGAGCAACCTATCCGGGAAGAGCATATACAAACTACAGAGCCCAGCCTGCTCTGCGCCTCCCAGTAGAGGGGTGGCAGGTGCTGGTGACCGCGCTGCATTCTGGACCTTGCAGTCTCCCGAGCATTCCATTGTGTTGGTTCCTGCAATGTGTAGGGAGCCTAAAAAAGGGCGGTGTGTTTTCTTTGCGTGTATACATTGTCAGACTTTTTTATTAGTTGTTAAGTATGCACTGTCGAACTCAACTAGACTCTGCTCAGGAGAAGAGACGGGAAGTTTGACCAGTTATGCATCAGAGAGAAAAACTGAAGAGAAATATTCAACCCATAAAGTTTAAAAACAACAAAAACAAGTAGATTTAACCAGAAGAAGCTTTGAAAGGGCTGCTAACACTTTATATGCCTGAAGTAACCTATGTCCAGGTTCACTGAAGAGCTAGGTCAGTTTTGCAATAAGGTACCAAGTTGTTTTTCTCGGAGCTGGCACGAGTTAGTTGCATAATCCCTGATAAAAGCACTGAGGTTGCAAGGAAAATAAGGTCCAGCACTTCTCCAGCAAGGGGCATTCTTGGAAACAAGGAAACCCAGAACAGGTTTCGCCGGTCTACGGGAGACCTAAGCAAGAATTTAAGAATGGAATCCGGTCGTCTAGTCTTACATTTGCGGCGGGGGAAGTGATGGGGCCAAGGGACAATCTGGAGTTGACTTCGGCGATCAATAATTTGCGTCACGAGAAGACAGAAAAAAGGAAAGAATTTGCATTGTGAATATTAAATGCAGCTGTTTTAGGGGGCGGGACTAGCTTGCTGAATGAAGGACGCAAAGAGAAACGGTTCAATGGAGCCTCCTTTCCACTCCACTATCCCCCACTATCTCTGTCCACTTTTTCCCTCTAGGCGCCCCGTGTGGACATCCAGAATCCCGACGGTGGGGGAGGGGGAAGCAACGTGCGCACGAGAACAACACCCGTTCCTTTTTCGTGATCTGCACCTTTAAACTCACTGGGTCACAATCCGGACCCCGGAGGCACCACCCACATCCGTTTAACATCACTTCCTTCAGGGGTAGGGGGGGGAAAAAAAAAAAATCTGGGAACTCAGGAGGTTGGATTGAGCAGCACTTGGGAGCCGGCGCGGCCCTTCTACTAGGAATCCAAACCTGCATCTGCTTAGCCCGGTGGCCCCTCACACCACCATGGAGCTGCGGCCTGGTCTCGGGGCCACCTGTTTGCTGGGCTTCAGTTTCCTGCTCTTGGTCACCTCCTCTGATGGACATACTGGGCTTGGAAAGGGTCAGACCGCGTTCTTATCTTAATCTTTACTTATTCTGGGTTTCAGCCTAGTACAACCTTCTCGTTTTAACACGACCCCTCACCCCCTCTCGTTATCTCTTGGGTCACACCAGATTCCTTTTTATCTTCTCCCACCGCTCCTGTGTTTGAAGAAAATTTCTTAGGGTAGGGAGTAGCGGGTCTGGGGAATGATATGATGGGGAAATTGTTCTTGGCTTAGGGTAAAGAATGGCCCTAGCCCATCGTAGTGCTTAGCGCTTTGTAGGTATGTCCTAAGGGACCGCCACCTTTACTGCTAGGAGAAATAGGGTCTTTGGGGACCTGCACATCCAGAGAACCTTGCCCTGGGTCTGAAGATTTTCCAATTTACCCTATTCCTTGAGTTAGGTTACTGCTCCCTCCTTGCCTTGGGGGAACAGCACCTGCATTCCAGGAAGGAGTGATCGGTGCAAAAGGAAGGGCCTAAAAGAGGAAAGATCTAATGTTAGGTCACCAACAATCGTCCTGCCTGTGGTTCAGTCAGTGTATCTGAAGAGAACTAATTGTTTTTGAGGACTGAGGGGACAGTGTTTAGGAAGGGAAGATAAGAGATGTGACCTCCCTGCTCCATCCCATTACTTACATCTTCATTGGAACCCAGGGTTTATGCTTTTTTAAGTGGATGAGAGATATAACTCACCCACCATCACCCATTGATTCCCCTCCCCTTCCATTTTTTTGTACTGACCTTACTGTATGGAATGACTCTGCTGCTGTCTTAAATTCTATTTTTCTCTTATCCTCCTGTTTGTCTATTTATTGGTATGTGATGAGCTTGGGTGGACACTCAGTGTGCCTGAATACGGTCACTCCTTAATCCAGTAAGTAATTTTTGATCACTTATCATATTTCCAGGCACTGTCTTGGGCACTCCTGTTTTCACAAGCTTATATTCAACTCAGAGAGAGAGAGAATAGAAATATGAACAAATCAATAAGAAAATTTCAGCTGAGGATTAGTGCTAGAAAGAAAATGCATCTGGAATGTAGTACTAAGGCTAGAAAGAACAAGGGAACTGTCATTATTTGAACTAGGAGGGTCAGGGATTGTTTTTTCTCTGAGAAGGTGATACATGGGTTTCCAACCCATTGATAAAATTGCATGGTAAATTATACTGGGCCAGAATGTTTTAAATACTGACCACCCTATTTTAAAACATTACTGTATATTTAGCGTAAAATTGTAAGTACCAAGGGAGACAGAGTGTAATGTTAGTAGTGTGGGTTTTGATCTGAGTTTCAATTTATTCTGCCACTAACTAACTAGCTAAGAACCCTGGAGCAAGTTACTTAACTTCTCCAAGCTTTGTTATTCATCTACAATAATGGGCATAATAATAACTACCTTGGACATCAACAAGTAATTTACTCTGTTCCAGTTATTCTGTTAGGTATAGGATGATGCTTGGAGTCATGTATTCAGTATTTTTATTCTTTGTTAGTCATGAAGGTATGTGTGGTTATTCCAATTATCATTTCTGTATAATAATCTACCCCAAAAGTTAGTGACATAAGGAAGTCATTTTATTATGTTCATGATTCTGTGGGTCAGAAGTTAAACCAAGACACAGGGGAAGGTCTCCTATTCCATTCCATGATGTCTGGGGCCTCAGCTGAGCTGGTTACTTCTCTGTGTGGTCTTTCTTTGAGGGCTAGTATGGGCCTCCTCACAGTAAAACAGGTGGATTTCAAGAGTGACTGCCCCATAAAAACAGGTGGAAATGCATAGCATTTAAAAAAAATCCTCACCTGAGGATATGTTTGTTGATTTTAGAGAAAGAGAAAGAAATATCGATCGGTTGCCTCCCATATGCAACCAAATGGAAACAAACCATGACCTAGGCATGTGCCCTGACCAGGAATCAAACCTTTTTTGGTGTGTGGGGTGATGCTCCAACCAATTGAGCTACCCGGCCAGGCCTGTGTAGCATTTTATCATCTAGCTTTACAAGTCACATAGCATCACTTTCACTGTACTCTGTCTGGGCCTGTTCAAGGGGGGGGGTACATTAACCTTCTCACCCCCACAGAGGGAAATGTTGAGTTCACATTGTAAGAAGAACATGTGGAATGGGAGGTAGCCTGAAGACTATCAAGACAAGTAAGGAGGCAATTACATGACACTGTGAGTAGGGGACATCAAGTAACTAGGAGCACCTAGGAGGTCAGCTTGAGGCAGGGGGACTGTGTTGCAATGATTAAATTAAAAAGCAAAAGGCTCTTAATATTGTGTTACAAATTTGGAAAGTATTTAGGTAATGCTTCCTAATAGTCTTCCCAAAGAATATTTATTGCTCCCAAAACTAATTAATATTTTAAACTTTAATTTTTTAAGTAATTCTTGGGAAATAAATTACAGCCTACCCACTCCGCCTCCCAAAAAAGTGCCACCTGATGGCAGTTGTTCACAAAAATCTTAATAAGATGTCGTCCCAGATGTGTAGATAGCTCAGGCTTGTTCTAGAAGCTGGCCTGGTGGTTTGCAAACAGGAGCGACTGACTGCACGTTTTCATTGAGAAGAGGAAGCGCATGCCCTGGCTGGTGTAGCTCAGTTGGTTGGAGCATGGTCCCATAACCAAAAGAAGAGGAAATGCAGTGGTATGGTGTGAGTGAGCACTGGGTAGGAATCAGGAGGCCTGGGTTTTAATAATGGTCAGAACGTATAGCCTGCTGTGGTCTTCCCTGGGTACTATTTACAAAATAAGAGAGTTGGATCAGAAATGATTCCTAACATTCTGGCTCCAACATTCTAAAATAATTTTGTTATTCTCCATTTGCTAAAAGTTTGGACTATATCCCCATGGGAAAAAGTATAATGAGTAACATTTACCATACATTGCTGTATTCCAGGCACTGGTCTGTACGTTTTTCACATATTTGCTGGCTTAATCCTCATAGTAAACTTTGAGATGGGTAATATTATTATCATCCCCATTTCACAGTTAACCTAAAATGGGGCAGAGGAGTCACAAAGCTAGTAAGTGTGGGTTGTAAATTCCAGAGCCAGTGCTCTTAACAAGCACACCACTTCTACCTCTGAATGCAGAAACTCCTTTAAAGATTTAAGAGCAGAAATGAGGAAGCTCTCAGTGGGGACAGTTCATGGGCTGTCCTCCTGAAACAGAAATGTCAAGTCTCCAGAGAAAAAATTTGGCACTGACACATGCGCAGTGTTTACATTCTACATTGCATCCTATTCACAACAACCCTATGGAATAGATACTTTGTGAGAGCCTTATTTTGCATTTGTGAAAACAGTGGCTGAACTAGAATTCCAGTGCAGGTCTGTTTGACCAGAGACAGACTTTTATTTAACCACTGTGTTATTTTATCTCTCAGGTACAGTGTTCCCTATTTTAGAGGCTTGGCTGCCAGCTCTGACAATTGAACTTTTGCCAGCTGGGAGGGGGTGGAAATGCTCTTCTGATGTCTTTAGTTTACACTCATAAAGGTAATTTTAGGGTGAAGGAATTCTGATGTAAATACTGTGTTTAGAAATGGTCTCTTTCCTTATTTTTCCTCTTTTTAAAAAAAAAGTAATGTTCTTATGGAAGGAGTTGCTGACGTGGTTGCCTTCAGCTCACTTTGCAGATAACTGGCATAAATTAAGTGGCTGTGCAGGTGACACATTAGGTAACTGGACTCTCTTCAGACGTGCACGTTGGC